CTTATGGAATTTTTCGACCAGTTCCTCCTAACTTTGGATGGAGTTAGGTGGGAGGTTGATGTACCACGCGAATGCCGAGCCTGGCAATGAGAAGTTGAATAGTGGTAGTTTATGGAAGTCATTGTTAACATCTTCGCATTGTGCAGTGAACCAAGCTACATGTTCTAACGAGTAAAAGGACGATTCTGCAGCAAAAAGGATGAAATCTGGGATCTTAAAGCCTTTAGGATATTTGAACTTCTCTACACAAGCTGGGTATGGATGGATGAATTTCGGAAACTTCAGCCCCTTTTTCAAGGCCGAATTGATCATTCTTTGGACCTCGAGCATATCGATGGATGCTATTTCTTTTCTCTGGTCGGATTCGTCTGATCTACTGCTTGATCCTCCTCTTTTTTCCAAATCTATCATTTTGAGCAGAGCACATCCTGTCTCGGCCTATATCGTTAATAATGGATTACTCTTAAGTGGAAGTTGTCGAGAACGATCAATGGGTCCACCTTCATAAACTTTACTAACCAATAGTTCGAGCTACTTGTTGTGTGAGTCGCCATTACTGCGTATTACCTCAAGTATGCTTTTTACTTCTCGACTGAAATTCTGAGATTGTTCTTCAAGTTTTCTCCGGAGAAACGATCTAATCGATGGATCAGAACCTTTGCTACCATCCTCATTGCAGTCTTCGATTATTCATTCGATAAAAATTGCTTTTGTCGCTCTGGTGGTGATCTCTGCATCACGAGCCTGTTTGCCGAGACTAACTTCCTTTTCTCGGCTTGTCATACTTATGGCTTCGAGTGTGATGGCAACAGGAGAATTCTGTGCTTGTGATAGGCTATCATGATCTGGGTTTTGAACCATAGGTGGAACATTAGTCGCTGATTTACCTATCCCTATTTTCTTTTTTTACTGACCATGTCTCAATTGTTATGAACTTCGTAGCTTTAGCGCTGGGTCCCACTAGGCGTGCCAAAATGTTGACCCTAAAAACTACCAAGCCTACGTGGCACGCATGCCGTGTAATCAATAAGCTAACTACGTCCTTCGGTTGTGTGCGGGGTATGCCAACTCGTCTGCTGAGCTCGGCGGGGGAGTAAAATGTGTTGATGTCATGTTGAGCATGTTGCTGACTTCTTGATCTCGCAACTGCAGCCGAGGAAGGAATACATCTCGGCCTTCGAGTTCTAGAGCCTGAAGACAAGGCTGCTAGTCTTGCGAAGTTCACAGATCGTCGGCACCGGGTTCGGTCACGGTGATTATATTCGTAAGAGCATAAGCATGCTGAACTGACAACAAACTATACGGACACAAGTACTTAAAAGAGATGTATGCCTTGATGGTAAATGTGGTTCGGCCGTCAGAATGCCGAACTCTAAAACTTACTTGTGATTATCCAATTATAAATAACTCGGCGTTCAATATGACACCTCACTTTGCCGAGAAGGCTAATGAGATGACCTCTACCAACAAAGACTCGAAAATCCTTGTCGGCCGAGACTTGGGTAGGTGATCAATCGGCCTCGATACAGTGCTGTTTTCCAAACTGAAGGTGCTCCGCGGTCGGCTGATTCTACGGCAACAGTGCTGTTTATCCAAACTAACTGAAGATGTTCGCCGGTTGCCTTCACAATGTTGTTTATCCAAACTAAAGGTGTGTTGGTGGAAAAAGAAAATAAAAATCTCAAGGTTGTTGAGAGGTTTCGCGTAGAGTGAGAGTTTGCGCAGGGCAATTTGTGTGTTGAATTGACTTTTTAAATGATGTACTCCCCTCTATATATATAGCAGCGAATCTACTCCTGGCCGAACAAGAGATGTTTCGGGATTAAAACTCCCAAATCTATTTTGATTAGGATTCGTCCAATCCTAGTTCCAATAGGTTTCTGAACCAAGCTTCTGTGAAGAATTAGATTCACTCCCAACTTCTTAGCGTCTTCAATTCTGAAACCTCTTTGTTATTCAAGGACTCGACTTCTTCGCTCTTATCCAAATCAATCTTTCTTGCAATAGGACTTGGCTGACCTAATTGGGCTGCTAGTTGGATGGCTCATAGTATTTTTGAAAGAGCATTGGGCCGAACAAAAACCTAAGCTCGGCCCAATAATGTTATTTTGGGCCTAAACAATAAGTTTCTCTATCACTCGACGCTCAACCACCAATTGTTGTGTGTTTTTGGGATATTCTTTGATTTCATGGTGAGCAAAACGACATAAAATTGTCTCGCTCTTTTCTGCTAAATTGAAATATAGAGCTATGGCTGCTGGTTGTGATGAAGTGATTTGGCTGCGTTTTCTATTAGAGGATTTGGGCATTTCTTTAACTGGTCGATACCTTTTATTTTGTAATAATCAAGCGACATTGCTAATAGATGCCAATCCCATTTTCCATGAGTGCACTCAACATATTGAGATGGATTGTCATTTTATGCGTGATAAGATTGTGGTATAATAGTTATTACACATGGTGGCACAATACAACATCTAGTAGATTTGTTTATGAAGCCCCTCGGAAAGAAGAAGTTTTGAGCATGTTACACAAGTTGGGAGTTCTTGACATCTACTCTTCAACTTGAGGGGAGTGTTTGACAAATAGGAAATTAATTAGAATTCAATTGTAGTGGAGAGATGTTTTAGTGACACACCCCGAACGAGATCAGGGCATGCTGGCCGTCATGTGGAAGTGACGTAACCATGTGCACAGTGCGGAAGCTAATAAAATAATAATAAAAGAAGTACGAATAAATAAAAACTAGCATACAAAGGGTAATAAAACAAGTGCTAGCGTAAGTCAGAGCAGAAAGCCTAAAGCAGTCCAGTTTAAAATGACACGACAACAGTACACCCGAAGATGGCCCTACGCTGGTGATCGTCTGTCAGAAATGCCGAGAGAGCCCTCTGGGAAACCACTGAACCTGCTAGGTAGCTAGAACCTGGAGGGGCGCAAAACAAAAGCATGAGTAGGCAAAAACAAAGCTTTTCGAAAACCATTTCAAAAACAAGATTCTAACCCCTCGCCGTAAAACCTGTATACTTCCCAGAAAATAAACATATGTACGTATATATATATATAGATATGCCAATCATGCTCAAGAATATGCCATGTCGGAACCTCAGAATGAAATGCAAGTGCTCAGGTATAAATCACATCAATAACATATAATCTGGCAGCCGGAGTCACCTAACGTGACCTGTACGGCTGCATCTAGAGCTCAAATCTCAATCATTATAACTGAACCTGCCCACGAGTCGGAACCACCTAAAGTGGTCTGTACGACAGGCCTGGGTGTAATACATATAAACGCTCTAGTGCTACGATCACGTGAAGGCTGTGCGAATAATCGCGGGTCACCTACGTGTCGGAACCACCTAAAGTGGTCTGTACGACAGGACTGTGCACCTAACTTGGATCCAAGCTGAGCGTGTGGTGCGGGAGGTGAACAACACGTGAAGGACCATGCCCTACTCTGGGCGGGAGCACTAACACCGAGGGTGCAGGTTATGAGCTCTCTAAGCATCTCGACTCACTATTGAATGTAAACATGAATAACACTTACCTGGCACTTACCTGTGCGTCCACAGCACCAAATATGCATATGTATATAATTATATATGCCCAATAAAGCAACTAATGATGCATAAATGACGATAATATAATGCATGGCATATAACTAATAAACATTTAAGTCAATTTCTGGGAAAATATAAGTATATAGGTATATACGAAAAACCAAAAGCCCACTCACTGATAAGTGGAAGGGTGGTAGCCCCCCTGCCTCGAGTGACCACGCTCGTCCTCGGGATACGTCTCACCTATATGCGAAATAACTATAAAAACGTTAATTTTAAAGCACATAACCAAACTTTAGAAATAACTTCTCATACAATGCTCAAATGGGGTGTATGAATACACCAACGCGATCTACTCAACCTCACGAACATCCCCAAATTTTTAAAATAATTTTTCACCACCGCATGCGCCCCCACGCGCAGGCACGTGTCTGGCACTCTGACAGCGTCAACTGACGCCGTAGGGAATATTCCGTCAGTTTTAACAGATTCCGTCAACGGCGTCAGGAATATTCCGTCACCTTCTCCGGCGAGCCTCCGGCGCCGTCGCTGGTGCCGGAAAATCGCGAAAACTTTAAACTTCGATATCTTCTTCGTTTTTCAACCAAATTCCACAATTTTGGTACCAAAATGAAGCCTAGAACTAGAGGAACACAATCATACTACTTTCAAAGGTTAAAAACCACGAAATCTCACCTGAAAAATTGAACCAACTCCGGCCAACTTCGAAACCAACGATCCCGATGTCCAATTCCTTCAAACGAACTACTCCGAGCCTCCTTGGGACCACACCAAGCTACCTACAAGCTAAAAATTTCCTAAAACGTGAGGAATCACGTGTGCATGAATAGTACCTCAAATCGGACATCGTTGAATCGACGTGAAAACGATGGAGTTCTCACTTGAAAATGGTATGGCTGGACTCCTACAATCCTCACGAGCTCAAATATGGTCTTGGTTTCCTCGATCTGTGGAAGTTTAGCTGGTTTTGGGTGTGTGTCCGTACGTTCGAAGGAAATGGAAGGGAAATGGGGCTCGGGACAGTGCAGGAAACAGGGAGAAAGAGGGCTGTGGTGTGTGGGAAGGTGTGTGTGGTTCCAAACAAGCCAACACAACACAGAAACAACCAATAAACGTAACGAAATCGAACTAGGGGCAAAGTAGTCTTTTCACGCGTACGTTTTTGATATTTTCGGGACGGGCTGTCACATTTAGTGTACTTAGAGCATAGTGCAGTACACTAAAGTCATTGTACAATTAAAAATAAATATTTTTTCAGAGCGTTCTTTCAATTGTACAATGATATATGTTTAAAAAAAGAATTGTATAATGATATATAATATATGTGTTCCTATTATGTGAAGATTGAAAAATTTCTCCTACTGATGATACGAACCCAAGTGTGCCGAGGCAGAGTTGGACGCGCGTTCATTCCCTAACCGCACACGTCAGCACACTATTGCTGCTTCACACAAAAAGCCCCAAATTGAATACAATGAAAAGGCAAGTCGGATGTTTCTCAAGGGTTTTCGTTCGGAATCCGGAATTCTGGATTGACGCTCCCCTAATTCATAAGTTCAACATTTCAGTTCAGGTATGTAATTATATAGTTATTTAATTCTGTTTTCTTTGTTTCCTTTCCGTTGATTGAAATTTTTGATTTGGAAACAGAAATATTCAACATTTTCTACCGATTTGATGGAGTGATCCTTCTTCGTTAGCAGAAATAACCCATAATTCTTACATCTATCATCCCTTTTCAATTCTTTATACATGTTTTAACTTAACTGGTTGTTGTTGTATCGTTTATTGAAATTGGCAACTAAGAAAATCTCATGAGATGAAGATTATTAGTTAATGATGATTAATTATTAGTTATAATTCGTGGTTAACATAATCTGTTATTGCTGCTGGAAAACATTGGTTTACAGTAAACAGTTTGATTCAAAATCTGTCTGGTGGCTGGTAGGAGTTTTGATTGTCTTGCCATTGCCCCACTTGTCATTTTCACTTTCAAGTGGACAAAGGTGCAAGAGGTGCCCATCAAGTATGAGTTTTCCCCTCAAGTTACTTGTATTACCAAAAACTAGGATCTTCATTTGTAGTAGCCTCACAACAGCTTAAACATGAAAAGAAATCAAAATAGATAGAATGACCGTCGTAGTCATGGTATGGAATAATGATATTGTTCGATTGACTTAGCTCCTTTCTTTTCATTGGTTTTATACCAAGGAATTATATTTTGGCTTCCGCATACCTAGGCTTCAAAACTGTTCGTCATTTAACGCTTTTACTTTGGTTTTTCTCTTTTATAAGCAGAAAGAAGTACTTTAACTTAGATGTGGATGAGGCAAGGTGGTTATCTTTATCTTTTTTATCATCTTTTATATGGACATTATTGATCCATGCTGTAGAGGAGCAATATAATTTAAATTGGGGTAGCCGGCCTTTTTAAATCTTCTCCTCACAGCCTTTTATTCTTTTGATATCATGCAAAGGGTTTTTAGTCATAGTAGTGGGTTTTCTGTAACCAAGTGTTATTGTGATTTGTAAATTTAGTCACCAACTGTCTGCATTGCAATTTTCTGTCTGTGTATGGAGTACTTTTGGCTGCAGTATGTAATGCCACTGCTTTTCCATATTTTGCACATAAATGTTCTCGGCCCTTTTATTGTTCGGCTCTTTTCATACACACATCCAACAAAATCAAGTGCTAAATCTGTGAATTCTTTTTCAATGTCCGGTCCTCACCAGAATGCTTCTTCCAGAGAGCAAACAAGATTTATGTATTTTGTATTTTGGTGTTTGCAGACCAGAAGCATAAAACAGATCTTGCTGCCCAATATTTCTGATAGATGGCTGGGATTTCGGGATATAGGAGCCTTGCACCTAAAACAAAGAATGCGATAGTTGCTGGGGGCCTGTCAGCTTTTGTCTTCGGAGTATATTTCTACACCATGAGAGCTGTTGGAGGCACAGATGAACTGCAAGCGGCTATTAACAAGTTTGAGGACGAAAAAGGTCAGAAAGAAGCTGAAGCAAGCATGCCATCGAAGGTTTGATCTTAGAAATCAGTTGTGTTTGAGGACGAAAAAGGTCAGAAAGAAGCTGAAGCAAGCATGCCATCGAAGGTTTGATCTTAGAAATCAGTTGTGTAATAATGTAATAACTTTTTTTGGTTGAAACATAATAATGTAGTCAAGGACAATGTAACCCCTGCTGTTAAGCTTTCGAAGACACCGTTGCAGCCCTCTATTGAATATGCAATTTTTTTCTCCAAGATATTACTTG